GAGAGAGAGAGAGAGAGAAGCCTAACTGAAGCAAAGCATAAGCAAAGTAACAAAGAAGCAGCAATGCATAGCTTTCCTTTGAGATAACACCGACTTCTGGGAAGTACTTGTCACTCCACTTCCCAGTGAGAGCTTCACAGTAGCGTTATCATGATAGAATGGAGGGTTCAAACAATGCAAAGAGAGTTTCATCTGTTTCCAGAATCTGAGAGAGAACTGAGGTGATTCTTGGAGCACAGCGATCCCACATGTGGTTTGTCAGCATTCCTACTGCGACAATTCAGGTCCGTAGAATGACGGACGTCTCCAGCCACCTTCCCAGAGGGGCAGCACTGTCAGATACCTTTCGTTCTGCATCATAACCGTAATTTCACAGCCATGTCAATGCAGTTAGCATCTACTTGCATGGTTTTCACTCCTCAGCTTCTCCACACGCAGGTACGCACTTCCATGAGAAAGGATATTTGGCAATTTTATGATCTGCATTTAGGGGCTCATCCACGGCTCATTTGATGTTGAAGGCCATCAAGGGTCTTTCCTCTCGTTTTTGCCAGGGGCTTTTCTTATCTTCTCCTTGGTCATCGTCATCATCATCGTCTTCATCTTCGTCATTGGCAGATCTTCTCTGGTTGGGACTTGCTAATGGCTCCAGGGGAACGTCTGAAGTTCGTTTGGTTGTCTCCTCCTGCAGGCTGGGGAGCTGCCCCCCACTCCTCCGACCTGACCCTTCCAACAAGCATCGCAGAGCACTGTCCTCAGGGGTGCAGACCGTGGCGGCACACTCACTGCCGCTCTGGTCCATGTCCTCAAGGTACACGAGCTGTGTGTAGGCAGTGCTGTCGGGAGCTCTGGGATCCTTTTGCTGGTGCTCCTGTAGAGGTGGGTGGCTCTGCTGGAGAGACAAAGGGTCTCCCCTTCCCTTTCTGGCAGATTTTGGTTCATTCATATCCACACCAGAGTCCAAACTGGCATCATTACTTCCATTCCTTCCAGCTCTTTGGAGATCAATGTATGAGTGTCTAACATGAGCGTTGGACCTTCCATCTAGGGAGACAAACCACGCCCGAGGGTGTGGAAGTGGCTTCCCACCCCCAAGTTCCATCAGAGCCTTTTCAGTCAGGAGCTGCACCTCGCTGTTCATCTGAGCCAAAGCTGCATCATTCAGGGATGCTGGGATGGACAGTGACTCTGACATGGATGCATTCTGAGAGCTCCACTCCCGTGCACCTGTGTCCTGTAGGTGCTGCTGGGAGATAGCCTGGGAAGACAAGGGTTGGCCTTGGATCTGAGAGGATGGGTGTGGGAAGATCCCCGCATGGGGGTTGGACAGCTCGGCCTGGAGCCTTCCTATTTCCAGCTGCTGGTCAGCAGGGACCACCAGAGGCTGGCTCACATAGGAATGGTCCCCTGGAAGTTTCATATAATGAGCCGGGATGACCAAGGCAGGCAACACTTTCCTATAAACGCTGTCGTTGACTTGGTCCACGGAACTACAGCAGATCAACTGGCCTGGCCTCGGGAAGGAAGTAGGTCTCTCCAGGTGATCAACAGATCGTGACATCATACATTCAGTAGGTCTGCGGTCTAGCAGTTGCTCTTTCTCAGGGGATAAAGGTACGTGGTACATGTGTTCCTGAATGGTGAGTTTGCTTCCTGCTGATGTCAGGCCTTCTTGATCTTGCTTTTCAAATAAAGGCTGGGAGAGCACAGTATTGTAACTACCCCTGTAGTCATCATTGCTGGGGGGCTCGTAGCCTTCCTTCTCCACAGATTTTCTTGCCTTTAAGGGAAAAATCTCCACGGACTTATGGTAGTCTTTCCCCAGTGTCCCACTTGGCGTTAAGTTATCAAAAGATGTTTGGCTTTTATCCTCTTCTTTGTGGGACAGCAGCTCCTCCCGGGAGCTAAATTCTTGTGAGGTACTATAGGAGAGCTTCAACATGGGTGTGTGCAGGTCCCCCTCCCCATTCGGGGACATCATTTCTAAATGCACCCCTCCCATCAATTCCTTTGTCCCTGGGGCCTCTTGGCGGCTATGGCTGGAGACGGACAGGGGCCCGGGATAATCTGACGCTCGACGAGAGAACAGCAAGTTGATGTGAGACGTGGACGTTGACTGATCCCTCTTGGAGCTCTCCAGAGCTGGGGGCAGCTGGAGCTTTCTGTGATGCTGACGGGGCTTCAAGCACTTCCTCCTGCAACCAATCAGGTGACACAAGGGCAGAAGTGAGAGACTCATGAAGGCAATGTTTTGGGCAAAATTCTATCAATTTCCACAAGGAAAAGTAAAACAATTTATAAGTACCCCGAAGAAGCCTCTTCACTCCACACCCACACTCTCATTTTAACCCAGAGTAGAAAACTCTAGGGTTTGGAGGCTCAGGATTTTATAGAGAAGCCAAGTTATCTATTCAACAAGGAACACTCAGGACTCAACAATACACATTCTTTCTAAGGTAACAGATAACGGCATTGGAATAAAAATAATTTTGCTTTGATCTTGAGTTTCATTGCTTAGTGACTGTTGAGGAATAGGAATGAATTGTGAAACAACTGTTAACTTCTTTCCTTTCTTGGTGTGTGTTTCTGTAGGGATGCACATGTGTGCTTGTGTGTGTGTTTCTGTAGGGGTGCATGTGTGTGCTTGT